ACATATAAGTACTGATCACTGTAACACATACATCACTAGCAACAAGAAGAAATTATGAACGTCCTATTGATAATCCTATCAGTTGTACTAGTAGTATCTACATTGACTGGATCTACTAACAATTACTACAATGGTAAGATACTGACTACTATACTAATGGATAATATACCTGTTTCAATTATATATACTATCAACAACAAGAACCTACTGGTAATAAAGGATTGACAGATTGTTGTAAGTTCAGTAATACACTACTGATTAATTCTCTTATACATAAGCTATTAATCATGATTTTGTTACGATAACTAACGTATCATCAAATATATTTGGACAAACAATTAAACCAGGACAAAAATTTTACTTTAAAGGAATTGCTAATATAAGTAACATAAGCAGCTATTACTAATATCAGTTTAATATTTTGTTTCTTAGAAAAGGAACTCAATTGGGGCATTATACATAGCACAATAACACATCAATTCAAGAACTATGTTAATCTTACTTTTGAGGATTCAAAGTATAATCTCTGTGACATTAGTGTCTATGTGACTGGAAAGTACTGCCCGTTGAAACCTGGAATATATCATGGAATATATAAAGACTCAGTTTCTTCACTTCTGTGGCCAGTAAGTAACAAATAGATACATTGCAATATTGGTTATTCTAATAATAGGGCAAGTATATTTTCAAAATTATTGGCTATAAAGAAGATAATGTTGAACTATTCTGTGCAATGACAGAAGTTATTGTTGAGAAATGAGTATACCTAACTCATAATAATTTAAAATTTTGTAATTAAAATAAGAAAATTAGCTGGTAAAAAATTATTTGTAATACTAATTATGTTATAACAGTATTCACACGTTTTTAATGTGTATGTGATATTTTGAATGCAATTTATTCATTTTTTGAGACGACACCTATAGCATGGTAAAACTAACAATATTCATTGATTGCAAACAGGAAAAAGTTAGTCAGCTCATATAATTGAAGGCGCCAAGTTTAGAATGCTAGATCTATACACATTATGTAAGATTAATAATGCCTTGAACAACAGAACAAGCATTTGCCCAACACAGCAGTTGGTAGTTGTGTTCACTAGATTGGTACCAACCCATGTTTTCTTAAAGTTCATTATTACAGCTATAAAAATGATATAAACACAAGTCATTTCCACTGTAAACCAAGAAGATATGACAGTATCAAGTTTTAAGCTTATTACTTTTAACTAAATCTGCTCAGTCTTATGATAATGCTGAAAATGCAGAGTTAAATGAGCTTTGTGGATGGAATGATGAAAAATGCCAATCCAACTGCTTAGTACCTGCCTACGCAGTGTGGTAAGTCAAATCCAACGATCATGAAGCCATTGTAATAAGTGAGTTTATTGGTATTGGTATATATAATGTTTACCAATTTGAAAATAAGTTCAATGCTATTCATACATAAAAAGGCCAAAAAATAAAATATGTAAGTATAATTATAAATACAAAATCATGTTTCGATAACTACAAAAAGGAACATTATAGTAAAGTATTCATTACTAAAAATTAATAAACAAAAAGTTGTCTATTAAGATGATCACAAACATAGAAGTATCCATTTCTATCAAATGTTAACCCCAATGGTTCTTGAAAATGATCAATATCACTCCCTTTCCCACCAAAACTACTGACAAACACACCATCACTAGTGAAGACTGATATACGTTTATTACCATACTCACTAACATACACTAGACCAGTAGCTGCAGTGTCTATTGTTATACCATTGGGCCTATTAAGCTCTCCAGGACCAGAACCTTTAATACCAAACCAACCCACAAACTTTCCATTAGGAGAAAACTTTTGAATGCAATGGTTATCACTATCAGTAATATAGACTAATCCATGACAGTCAATAGCAATGTCATTTGGATACCTAAATTGCCCACTAGCTGATCCTTCACTACCAAACGAGCGATTGAAGGATAGGTCAGGATTCAAGACTTGTATACGATGATTATACCGATCAGCAATATAAACCAAGCCTGTTGTATGAGAAATGGCTATACCATCAGGATAAATAAATTGTAGTGGTCCACTGCCTTTCTTGCCAACTATAGCTAAACAGTGTCCATCCATGCTTATCTTCTGGATCCTGTGATTATCAGACACAAGAATGCATTTGTCTGGAGTAATGGCTATACCACGAGGGGAAGAAAACTTAACATTGCCACTTCTTCCTTTTCCTCCCAATGATTTCACTTTCTTTCCTTCTCTATCCAGTATCGTTACACAGTGACCACCCCACTCAGTCACCATAATTAGATTTTCATCACTAACAGCAACTCCCCATGGACCATTGAGCTCTGCTATAGTACATGCTGGAGTCATGATGGGAATCATTGAATCAATAGAGATTACCAGTGACGTATCTTCCAGCTGTACATCATATACTTGTACTTTTACTGTATAAGTGCCACTGGTTGAAGGGTTACACTGTATCCTATACACTCCAGGATCAGTGCTGGTGGTAGTGACTGTAGTGTCAATGGGTTGATTGCCTTTACCTGCTGGTACTAGACTACACCTCAAAAAAGAGACAGGGACTGACAAAAGAGACGAATCTTGTGCCTCAATTGATAGTGGAAATGAAACTGTTTTTTCAGTAGTTATAATGCTATCAATTTTCTTCACTTTACACTGCTCTAGTGCAGTAGATGAGTAGGTCACAATATCTCCAATGTGATGCAGTGATTTGATATCTTTACTCAATGCAAAGTCAGCCTTTTCCTTTGGCTGTAACTTCTCTATATTGACCTGTGCAGTAACTTCACTCATGTGCTCGATCATTTGTTCTTTAAATCCCAGGACTTGTTGAGGACTGCCTGTCTTCAGACTTTCTTTGACATAATCCTCAACATCTTCCAGAAGACCCAGATTAATTTTTGCTGATTTGATCTGCTCTGAAAGCACCCTTAGTTTATCATCAGTAACCCTCTTTGCCTGCTCAGTCAGTTTCCTCTCTGACTCACGAAGGACATCCATCATTTCCTCTACCATTTTATGTATATCTTTCAAAATTAATTCTCCTTTCTCTCTGATCTCACCCTCTCTCCTTGTTAGAGCAGACAGAACCCTCTTGAGTGCTACTTTCTTTGCTTCAACTGGCAATAGACATTCTCTTAACTTTTGACAATGTTTAGTAAAAACGTCAGTGACTAGGTCACAATCATGATGCTTGTGTTTACGAACACAGCAGTGAGAGCAGATTGCTGTATTACATGTTTCACAAAAGAGCTCCAAAGGCTTTCCATGATCACTGCAGGTGGCCTCAATTATTTGAACTTGAGTATCAGACAAACTTGCTGTTCTCTTCATTAAACGATGTACCTCATTGAGGTTGTTGATATGAAATGCTACAGGAAAGGCTCCTATTCCATCTTCTGGTAACTCTGTATGATGACGACAAGTGGGACAAGAGAAGTAATAGGTCTCATTCTTCTTATCCAGTGGTAATCCCTCCAGACAGTGCTGACAGAATGAATGTAGACAAGGTAAAGTCTTAGGGCTGGTATAGTGGTCAAGACACACAGGACAGGTGAGCTGTTCTTCCAGTTTGAGGAGACCAGGAGAAGAATATAATGACAGTTTGGTTGCCATTTCAGAAAAAACAGTTGAATAGATTTTTAATGAGATGAAAAGCAGAGTACTAAGATAATCAAAATTAAAGAAAAGCAGGAAAAAGAGTGACTGAGAGAGAAAGATATACTGAGCCCTGATGATAAGTGTTGTGATAAGCTTTGACAGTTTTAATAGTCGGCCCTAGTTATATTTCTTTTATCTATAGTGACAAATAGTAACACCATCCATATCAAACTATACTTAGTGGATAGTTGTAACTGTATACCTTTCTTTAACAATGCTTATACAATGCAATGAACAACTATCAATGGACACAAAAGCTACTGACCAGTACAATAACTGTCAAAGCTGCAAAAATTTAATTTGCAAGTAATAAAGTGCATATTCTCTGCAAAATTTTTATGCTAGCTCTAGCGCCAAGAATAAATTTCAAAAGTACAATTTTCAGGTTATATAGCATCTAATTTACTGTATAAAAATATTCTTGTGTAGTCAGATCACACGTTCCATGCCTGCACAAAGGGAGGGGCTGGCTATGCAAGACTAATATGGAGTAGTACAGCTAGGGTATTTTCAGATTTTTTAAAACGACTATAACTCAAAAAATTAAGTCAAAATCAGCTAAAATCTTCTCCATACCATAAGTACATTAATATATGTATCAAAAAGTGCAATAAAAACTGGGGGTGATTTTGGAGCCATTTTTTTGAAATGGGCTATAGTCTTGGGTATTTTTCAGATTGGCCTATTGTTAACAATGTCCATAACTCAAAAATTTAAGTCATAATCAGTTTAAACTTTCTGCTTAGCAGAAGCACATCAATATGTATTAGAAAATAATTTTTGAGATAAAAAATATATACATGTAGTCTAGTTTATGCTTTATTGTTTTATAGCTTCAGAACGATGAACTATTGTTTAAAATCAGCACAAGGACATCACAATGTATAAAAATAATACCAGAACTGGCAATGCTGTTCACACTAATGACTTTTCCTATCAATGCCAATCCTAGCATTGTGACAATTTATAAATTCATAGTAGAATTTGTATAACAAGAATACGTTTGGCATTAATTGGTTTCATTGTCCAATTTTGTCTTTTTAAAGAGTCTAGCTAGGATAAGTAGTCTATGACACAAAAATTGCATTAACCAAAGTGCTACTGATGACATTAGTAATAAAGTATTGATTGTATGTTAATCAACTAAAAGTCAGCAGCATATTCAAAACATGAGACAATGCATAAAACAAACACAAAACAATAACATTCAATAACAATATAACAATATGAGGGGATATATAGGTACTATCACTGTAACACATACATCACTAGTAACAAGAAGAAAGATGAACGTCCTATTGATAATCCTATCAGTTGTACTAGTAGTATCTACATTGACTGGATCTACTATCAATTACTACAATGGTAAGATACTGACTACTATACTAATGGATAATATACCTGTTTAAATTATATATATTATCCATAACAAGACCCTACTGGCAATAAAGGATTGACAGATTGTTGTAAGTTCAGTAATACACAATTGATTAATTCTCTTATACATAAGCTATTACTAATGATTATGTTACCATAACTAATGTATCATCAAATATATTTGAGCAAACAATTAAACCAGGACATGAATATTACTTCAAAGGAATCATAAATTTAAGTAACAAAAACAATTACTAAAACATCATTTTAATGTTTTATTTGTTCATTAGAAAAGGAATTCAAATGGGGCATTATGCATACCAAAATAACACATCAATTCAGGAACTATTTTAATCTTACTTTTGAAGATGCAAAGTATAATCTATGTGACATTAGTGTCTTTGTGACTGGCAAGTACTGTCCG